ACTTTACGAATTTTTTAGGTTAAGTTCGCCATTCGCGAGAAGGTAGACAAAAACGCTATCTTTCTTAGAATTTTTTTCCTATACGATCATATTTTTTGTTTGCTGTTAAAAATTTTGGGGTGACCTTGTACCTATTGATTGGACTATGGGGTTGTTCGGACTGTTCGGAGCACTCTGAACACCTTAATCGAACAAATCCATTACATCACGATGCAAAGCTTTAAAAAACACTATTTCGAATATTTTTTTTATTTTTTGCAAGCTCACGCCAGATTTCTGCGTAACATTTTTCTTAAATTAGAAATAATGGAGTGATATTTTTCATAGCATATAATATGAGTGTACTTCTTCTTATAATACACGTATAGAAAATCAAGGTATGTAAGCTACTAGGTTGCATCTTCTCTTAAAAAAAATATATTGTTAGTTTTTTAGATTTCATTTTTTTTTGGTACCGGTATTTTAAAAGCGAGGAAAAATATTAGCTGTATAGAATACCTCATAAGTACGAAAAATAAAATGTGATTCAAGAATTTCTTTTCAAAAGCATTTTATTTCTTATGTAACAAAAAAATATACATGTAAATTACCAATTCTTTTGATTCCATTAATTTTTTTCTCCATTCTCTCTTAAAAATATAAAACTTTACATTTTTTGTTACTATTTACAATATTAATGATTGTACAGTGAATAAGTGCTCTTATTGGTGTGGCAGGAATTTTTTTTACTAGTTAACTTTTTTTTTTAATTTCTTAGGAAATCGCTAATCCCTTCTGTACAACTGTACACTGTAAACTTATCTACGTTCATGTCTATAAAAAATCCACTTTAATTAAAGTGAGTTATAACAAAATGGCACAAAAAATTAAACTTTTAAATATTTCTGTGCTTCTTTAGAACATCAGTCTTGTAATAATTCCGTTATCAAACTAAGGTAACAAACAAATAACAAAAAAAAAATCTTGTTTCGTAACGCTTTCATAGATCAAAAAATTATTGCTCAACAATATTGTTAACAAGATTCTTTCATTTGAAAAATATAAATACTCCTCTTGCTTATTTATAAATCTGGATGTCATCTAACATGTTGTCAGAGGACATTAATGTCAAGCGGCGCTCCTCGTGCATCCCTTTTGCATAATTTATTTGTCTCGAAACCTACATTTAAAAAACAACAATTTTAAGTAATTTTTTTTTTCATAATATTTAAAATGTAAAAACATACCCATTTAGCTATATCTTCGCTGTCACAGCGCACTTTGGGCCTTCTCAAAATCTCTGTGCCTTCAAAAGCTACAGCCCCAGCAGAATCTGCCCTTGAGGTCAATTCAATGTAATGCAGCGTATTTCCGTTACTCTCGATCCGATGAGTCGGCTGACAATACAGTAAATCAGACAAACTGACCTCCGTAACGATTCCTTTACTACCACCAGATATAACTATTACTCGTTCATTCGTCACCAAAACTTTCAGATTATCCATTCCACTGCGCAAACATTCGTATGCCACAAACAGTTCTGAATAATCGCGATTGTTGATACAATACAGTAACTCCTGACCCTCGGTTTGTTGCGGATTAAAAGGTGGTAGCAAACCAGCCGGGCCGCTTGCTACTCGTGGATGTCTGTCTCGTTTTGGTATCTGTCTGTGTGCACTGTAAAAAAAATAATATTAACATTCAAGTCCATTTATTTACCATTTCTTTATTAACAACAAAAAAAATTGTAACAAAGTATGAAGCATTGATACTTGATAATACCTTCTGCTACTCTCTCGTATGGCAGTCGCGCTTTCCGTGAACAAGTCTAAAACTCCAACTGCTGGTTTTGTAATCGTCCCCACGACACCTTTCCCAAGGCCGGCAAAGAAACCCTGAAAATATATTACTTTTGATTAAAAAAAGTCTCTGACTCAACCAACTAGTTACTCATTCGTGCATGTATTTGCACTTACCGGGAAGCCTTCGTTTGCTGCACCGTCATAGGTTTGCTTGAAAATACTTGTCATGCCACCAAGTATCCCAAAACCAAGTCCCTTGACACCAGCCACTAAATGACCCCGGCTTCCATCCGTGTTGGATCGAATTTTTTGTCGAGTCTCCTCGTGCCTTTCGTCCATAATAACCCGTCCGACTCCATCGGACAGAGTTTCCGTAAGCTTGGCAGCAGAACTCGAGAAGCCATACGTGACGTTTTTCACGAGGGTCTTGACGCTACCCTCGTTTATGAGGCTCGATACGCCCTCGGACACGTCATTCATCAAACCCAAAGGACTTCCCAAAAAGTCAACGGAACCCAGTATAACAGCGGCTTGCCATTTTAACTCCTATCACGAATAAAAACACACAAGGATCATGTTTATTTTAATTTTTTGTCAAATGAACGAATCAGTTCAATGGGTGAGTGTAAACACTTGGTCTCACTTACTTCCTTGTAGTGCTTAATGATGGAGTGTATGAGAAAATGACTGCTCTCGAACGGATGCTTCCTGATAAATGGCTCAAGCTCGATCGACGCGTCTTCGAATTTAATGAGAGTCAGGCCAAGCTTGCGCTTGATAGCTTGCAGGTGCGGGGGCAACTTTGTCGTCGTCAGTACACTCAGTTCGACTTGACTCGGCACGAGTTTGAGCACGGCGAAGTAGTACCGTTTGGTATGAGCCGCCGACACGTCGGATATGAAACGTTGCGCCTGAAAGTCGTTCTCGTCAACAGGTGGTTCTTGCTCCAGACCACCCGCACCGACGAAGGCTGCCAGTTTCAGTATCAACCGCTCCTCCAAGTGCACGCAGACCGACTTGATGCTCACCATGAGGTGCTTGAAGATTTCGGCGTTTTGATTTTTCGATGATAGTTTTTCCATGGTTATGTGAATCGCCGGTCTGGAGTCGCTCTCACCTCGGGAATTCCTGTCGAAGAGTTTCAACTTATCAATAAAGATATCTGCAAGTATGATCCATAAGTCGTAAATAAAACAGTGTTCGACCGTTCCATGCATACCTCGATATGTGAAGCAGGGAAGTGCACTGTGCCTCAAATAGTTGATTGTCGATCTGTACGTCGTGTATCTGCAGCTCGAGGGTCTTACTCGTCGGTATTTCGACAAAGTCGAGCGTTATTCCAGCGAAACGCGAGAATATAAGCTCTTCGGCCGGCCGGCGAGATATGATGGACAAACCCAGGCCGGCCGGAAGATCGACGCTCAAGTGCAACTCGCGTGCATTCACCTTCTGAACTTCGGCTTGAACTTGCGTGGGTCGCTGCGCTACCGAGATGTTGGACCAATCGCGCTCCTCCAGCAAGGCGAATGTCTTTTTCTGCAACATTTAACGATGAAAATCTCGATATGACGTTTCTCTCTATTTTGTGTGACGCGTAAGCGCGCGGGTACCTTTTCTTTGATGTCCAGGACTTGCAAGACGCGGGTCGGTCCATCGGTTGTCACTCGTACGGATAAGTAACCAGAACCCGGTCGAAGTCGCTGTCTACCGACCCGCTGTTCTATCGGAGGTGGACTGCAGTGAGTCTGTGGTCCTAAGACGGCTTCGCTCCCTAAACACATGTATTTGTAACTGAACGATTGAACCATATCTGGAAGCTTTTTTGCAGTGAATACCTTTCGTGCGCTTCGTGTATGTGCGTGGTGTTTTTTTTTTTTTTTTTTTTTTTTTTTTCAATCGATATCATTCTACAGATGGCAATAATAAACAACAACCAACCCAATAATAACGTATGCTCATGAAAATTAAATGATTTTTTTTTAATTTTGTTGACGAATAAAAACAAAATATAATGCCGTAAACAAAATGTATTGTCAATCGTTACTACCATCTCAGAAAAAGTATCAAAGGTTCACATACGTGCAACTAAACATTAAAAGCTAAAGGAAAGCAATTTTTTTTTTCCGCGTGTTGGTGGCTAAACCATAATAGTGTGGATAAAAGAAAATGAAAAAGTGCAAGGCGAGTGTAAAAGTGATGAATAGTCGGGTAAAAAAGCGAATTAGTACATGACGCTTAGACGAAAATAGTTTGTTGAACATTTATGCAAAAATTTGTAACATAATGTAAATATATGGTGTGGTATGGACAAAAAAAGTCATCCACAATGTTCCGTAAATTTATGATACGTACACATTTGCCAACGGGCGACTCTGCCGCCTGTAAAATTGGACAATCGCTGTGAATTTCGTCTTAAAATTTTTTATTTTTTAAAATTTTTTTTATTTCGTGAAATCGATGACATTATCAACAAATTAGACATGTTTGATGGAATGACATGTATGTTATGTAGTATACCAAATAATTGACACACAAAAAATGGATGAATCGTTAGACCAAACGTCAGTACTAAGAATAGAAAATCAAATATACTTTCTTTGAATATTAATTAAAAAATGAAAGAAGCAATGTGGAAATGTCAATTATATCATTAGTTCGTTAAAAAAGTAAAGTGATCAATAATCATACGAAAGAATAAACTTGACAGATAACACTGGTAAATGAAAATTCTTTATATTTTGAAAATTAAATTATCTGTATATATAGTGCTCTCAATCAAAATAAGATTTAAGTTAACACAAGTTTAAGAAATAAACAAAACAAAATAAAAAGTACACGACAAATCTCATGCTACAGTAACATACTCATTGTTGGATTATTAAAAAAATAAATAAATGAATAACTTGATCAAACCTTCTTGCAGTCCCATGAAACCATCTTTGGATTGCACACACATATTTGCGTGTACACAGCAAAGTCGACCATCTTCTGTGAATCGCCAGGTTTGCGTTGATCTACGCCTAGGATCTGGTCTCCTTAACGCTAGAGGACAATATGTGAAGGGCTGTGGTGCCGTTCCTGCGATGTCGAGCACTAGGACAGTATCTGGAGTCCGACTGTGTTTATCTCGCGGTGGACTAGAACCTTTGAACGAAAATCCACAAGATGATTAATTTTAAATACAATTGATCTAGAGCATCAAAGACCTATCTCAACAAACCTTCATGTTGAAGCTGCCCATCTCCCGTCATTCTCCAAAGCTGTGATCTTTCACCGTACTGTTTCCTCCTCAGTGCTACCCAGCCACCAGGTCCGGCTTCTAGCACTAATCTTTGCGTCTCAACGTCCAACGGGTCCAAATTATTTTCTCCATTTCCAAGATCGCCATCTTGTTTAAACGTCCCTGGAAATTATGTATTTTAATGTTTAATGCCACTCTGAGTAACTTTGCAAATTGTAACGTTTTTGTAAAAATACTCACCCGTAAAGGCTATGTAAATAAAATTTTCGTACGTCAATCCTCTGCATTCGCCAAGAATATTCAAGTCGTACGAAGCTGTCACTCCTCCGGGAGCTGTCACGACAAGACCGGCGGGATAGGTTGATTCGTCAAGAGCGTAAGGTACCGAGCAATGCGGGCGAACTGTCCATTGTGAGAAAGTTGTGGATATTAAAAAAACACATCGATCCTTTTTTATTTTATATCGATCCGAGTTATCAAAGTCGAGTTATCAAAAATTTTGAGAGCACGAACGATTTTGAACGCGCGAATTCAGTTTCCGAAGTGGCCGAGCCCGGTATCCCCACTCCACGGCCCGTTCGCACGCTGCATTTTGGAATTTGTTAAAATATGTTAAAAGCCAATGAAATGAGTTCATCTATTTTTTTATTGAAAATATAAGCATTCAACTTTATTTTCCGTAAGAATGGACGCTGTAGCACGTAACTAGCGNAAAAAAAAAAAAAAAAAAAAAAAAAAAAAAAAAAAGAAAAAGAAACATTACCTGATTGATTGTCAATGGAACCTCGGAGAAATTGTCAACTCTGATGGGCGGTGGCATTGTGTCGGCATCTGTGAACACGATGAAGCACGTACTTTCTTGCAAAACCACGTCAACTCGCAAAAAATACATCGATCCCGACACATCTCTAATATTGACCGTGAGCGAGCGATTTTCATTCAACACAATGCCACCGGACCACATGCAATTGGGAATGTCAATAATCCGCACGCACAACAGTTGATCCTTGTCGAGCCGTGGCCAGTGGAAAGACATGTGGCAGTCGGGCGTTGCTTTTATATAAGTTGCTTGAGCATCGAGGTGACTCTGAGGAGAAACATATGTTTTTTCAAACGACTAACACAACAAAACTAACTTGTTTTTACAATCAAGCATTTTCAGTTTGGGACTCACAACAGTGGTAGTGAAAGACTTTTGTGCGAGTTCGAGTGTGCATGAGGACTTGTTGTGCAATTGATATCTCGGAGATAGTGTCACTACGGTGGTCGCACGGTATCTTCCTCTGGCAGGTCTTGTAGCTATGCCTATCAAGTAAACGATGTCTGGTCTACCGTCGCGCATTGCTACTCGTAATCGGTGAACCTGAAATTAACGATCGAGTTAACAGCAAAGGCTCACTAAACAGTATATTAAAAATAAAATATTTAGTAAACTTTTCAATACCTGTACTCCAGGTTGCAAATTGAAAATGCTGACACCACTGGGGTATCCCGTTGGAATGAAGTCGCTGTCTACCGACCCGCTGTTCTATCGGAGGTGGACTGCAGTGAGTCTGTGGTCCTAAGACGGCTTCGCTCCCTAAACACATGTATTTGTANTATCAAGTAAACGATGTCTGGTCTACCGTCGCGCATTGCTACTCGTAATCGGTGAACCTGAAATTAACGATCGAGTTAACAGCAAAGGCTCACTAAACAGTATATTAAAAATAAAATATTTAGTAAACTTTTCAATACCTGTACTCCAGGTTGCAAATGAAAATGCTGACACCACTGGGGTATCCCGTTGGAATGCACACCCGTTCCGACGCGCACTGCAAGCGTACCGTCGATCTCTTCGTCGTTAAAAGAGAACAGCAACGGCGCGACCATGCGAGCTTTTTCATGTTCCTCGTACTGTCCGGCAAACTCCGTGTTGGATCCTTCTTGTTTGAAGACTAGCGGCAGTCCAGTTTTGTTGATAATCCAATAGGGTGCCGTTATGTTTATTCGCATGGCCGAGCCTTTTTCTACTATGACGGTTGCGTGAATAAACAGAATACGATTCGTCACGTCAGTGAGTCGCATTCTACCGGTGAATGAACCACAATTTTGCGGAAGAATCAGCTAAAAAGTCAATTGCGTGTTATTTTCAAATACAAACGTTTAAAGCTTTACTCAATACATCTGGACATGAAAAAAAAAAAAAAACGAAAACAAATAAAACTAACAGTTCCAGCCCCTGGATATCCATCCAACCGTATTGTTATTTCCATCTGATCATTCAAATTTGGACTATGGAGGTCCGAAGATTTGCCAGGAGCGATCCTTCCGTTTTCTGCACCAGCAGTAAACAGTATTTCGTGCGGCAAGAGGTTTGTCACTGCTATTGGAGCGAGAATCGAAATAACGTGTCCGGGTAAAGTTTGTGAGGTGTCGATCGGGTAATTGTCCCTTCTTATCGCTACGGACATTCTCAACAGATTTTGTTGATTTGTACGACAAGTTGTTTGTATTTCTATGACTTCGGAAGGTTTTTTAACTGCCGACCAGTCGATAGGTTCCATGCAGTACTGGTACGGACCGTTTGGAAGTACGGGCCTAATGAACATTTGTACATCGGTATGAGTAAGAGGAATCGAGATTCTAGACTGTGCTGGGACTTGCAAAATTCTGCTGCCCAACATGGACGAGTACGTAGGGGAATCTGAAATAACATACACACATGTTTTTCAGCTAATAATAGAATTTGAGATACGGTAAAAATTTCGTTTTATACATACAGCCATAGTAACTGAACGATTTTTCTAACTTCAGGTCGACACCGTAACTTAGTTTGTTCACAACGAGTAAAGCTGATCTTACGGTGACCAATTTTCTTGCAGATCCTTCCAATTCAACGCTAAATACCATCCGAGCTTTCGTCGATATAACCTAATAAATATTGTACATGAGGATCTTACATGTAAAAAAAATACGTAATGTTGTCCAGATGACTTACCTCAGAACCCTTAAAATCGATAAGCGCATGTCGAAAGTAAACTCCAACTCTGTCCACGGTTACAGGATCCACGGCCTTCCAGCCTTCGACGATCACCGCAACCTGATGTCTCCGAGCTATGTGAGTCGTTTGATGCCTCAGTTTTCCTCTTTGCTCGAACGTAAATGGGACCGTGTCACCCGCCGGAACTTCCATCCAGGTCTCATCTCGTTTCAACGCATTTTTCCTCAAAGACTCCTGGTCTATGATCTTATCATCCTCAGCTGTGGCGATCAACGTCTTGAACCAAATCTTCGATCCGGTTTCGTTTTTCAGGGCAAATGGAACGAATGGCGATCGTCGCCTGTAGTTTTTACTACTACCCGCATTCGAATCACTGGTCAAGTAATCTTGGGTCCAATTCTCTTTGACGAGGCTGACAAGCTCGACGAGAGTCGACGTCACGTTCACGTTGACCGAGTCCTGCGAGTCGACCCGTATTCTCAGTCGCTTGGGGCTCAAGGAACTCGAAAGCGTTTGTTCCCACTGCATGGAAGCCCGCCATTGTTCGACGAAAGGCTCCCAGCCGCTCAGCACGCGATTGTAATAGTCGACGGTCAAGGAAGCCGCCACTTCTCCGGGACCGCAATAATCTTGCTTGAGCATCAGGTCGATCAGTGTCAATTCCATCAAAGGCACGTCCGCGTCCCTACAATCGTCGATTATGCAGATCTTCAGGCAGGCCGTTTCCAAAAGTATCACCTGAAACGAATTAGGTAGTTTTGAACAATAAAACAATGCGTTTTCCAGAATTTTACGAAAAATAAGAACAGATCGTTGCACAAACTTTCAAGGGAAACTCATCATTCGTGATTGCCTTCTCTGTGTTGGGCACGGCATTTTGAGTGAGCCAGAGTGCGGCATCGTCCAGGTGTCCATTGCATTTTTCCAATGCGGTCTGACAGTCGATTTCAGCAAAGCCCAAAGCTGACAGCTTCAACACGTGACTTTTGGCATTCGCTGGTGGTCGAGCGTCCAGCTTCTGTTTGGCCAACAAAGTTTGCTTCGGCAGTGAATTCAGCATACGCGAGAACATGCTAACGTCGTGGTAACTCAGCCTCACGCTCAGTGGTTGCAGATGTACCTCCAAGCATTTATCTTTGGTCAATTCAAGACTTGCACCCACAGGATCGATGATGGACAGAGCCGTTTCCTCCTCTGACATTGTTTCGGGTTAATTTTTTTCAATGTATGATTACCCATGGGAAAAATTTGTAAAAAAAAAAAAAAAACTTACCCAATCCCAAGATGCAAGAGAACAACTCGCAGTGCGACAGATTGCAGCTCATAGGTTTCTCGCCGTCCTGGGGATTGGATTTGTAAGCAAGCACGGCCGTGCACTTCAGTATCACAGCGTTGGTGTCCCACATGGACGTGTCCTCAACGATCACCAGCTCCGAATCGGTGATGTTGCACTTGAATTCGAAGGGCAGATACGCGTCATTGGCACCGTTATCGTGAGTAGGGAGCACAGTCACGGTAGTTAACACTGGCTCGGGCTCGGGCGCGTTGAGCACCAAAAAATCGCGCACAGCTTCCCACCAGTCGAGAATCGCGGTGAGCCGCATGCTGTGCAGCAGTATCGTGGTGGCAGCGCAATTTTTTCGCTTGCGATGATGCACCTCGGCTTGTACTCGGTCCTGGCTCACCGAACTCGTTCTCAGCGGCTGGAGTATGCTCGTAAACACGTTGGAGCGTCGATTGACCGGCTCGTCCTGGAATCTCGTATCCGTCACGAGGATCTCCTGTGACACGAGATCGATGTCCTGCGAGCCGTCACTCAGGGATTCTAGGATCAATCGCGACTTGATGAAGTTGACACAAGCCAGGGCTGCTATACCGTGGTGCGGGTTAAGCTTCAGCGTTACATTTACCAGCTCGAGCGTGATGAAGGTCGTGGTCCAGGCTTTACCGTCGAATTCCGATTTGGGCATCGAGTAAACGGTCGTGTCTTGCATGAAAGCGCGAAGATCGTCCAGATTCTCGCCGATATTGTACGCAAGGAGGCCCCGGATGAGCATGTACTGGGTAGGATCGAGCGTGCAGTCCATAGTCGACAAGGTACCGTGAACGCTCAGATCCGGAATTTCCCGGCTCAAGTAGGTGTCGAGATTACGCTCGACCCTAAGCTTCAGGTGACACTTTTCCGTCAGCAACGATGGCCCGGTCTTCTTCACGACGAAACCACCCACCGTCAAGCTATCCTTGTCGTTATTGTCGTTTTCGTCGCCGTTGACATTGTCGCTGGCGCTCGTCCGCTTGGCTGGATACACATCCATGTTGACGAGCTCGACGTTCATGACGTCGAGCATGCAATTGGATTTGGCGGTAGAAAATACAAAAGTGTTGTGAGCCGACAGCTCACCGAGATCCAAGAGCACGATATCTTCGGACCTCGAGCTCACAGGTAGCAAAATCACAGGCGCTCCCGCGTGCAGCTCCAGCGAGAGTCTCATGCTACGCTTGTTGACATTTATGACTGCGCTACCACCGGCACGTAGGTTCGCCATTACTACCCGTAGTTGCGTGAAGTGGGCAAAGAAGGCTTGAAGCTCGGCGACGAATCGTTGCGTGTGCACGTAATGCACTGCTGACATTTGTAGCTTCAGCTGGGCATCGTGGGGCCGCTTTTCGGAATCCGGATAGCTGGTGTACTGGAAATTCAGAGCCTTTCTGCCCGACGAGAGGAATCGTTCGCGATAGAATCTGCCGTGCGGCGTGAGGTCCAGCAGCGACATCGACCCCAATGAGCCGGATACCTTGTTTATACCGTCAGTCTGCAACCAATGAAAATCAATTGTTTCTAATGTTTTTTCTTGAAATTAATTACGTGTACTTGGAGCTTATGAATGTGTCAAGCTAATTAATTACCTTAACTATGTGCATGCTGGCGTTGGAAATGTTGGCCCGTGCGATCTCGCGTTCAGGTTGCAAGAGCACAAGCGTGAGAGAATTGATCTCGATCTCGGTTTCCGAGTGCACCGGCAGTTCGTTGGCCGTGGCAAAGTCGAGCTCGTCAACGCCAGCCGTCATGGGGAAAGCGTCGTCGGTGGGGACGTATTCCTCGGGCCCGGGCGAGCCGATGCCGAAAAAGTCAAGCACGACCATCCAGGACTCGACGCTCACGATTAGATCGAGACAATTGAAGTCGACACCGACAGTCTTGTGGCGCACTTGCTCCACGCTATCGCGCTCCGGCTCGCGCATCGTGATACTGATGAGCACGAGGTTCTCTTCGGCGCTAACGGCGCCCGGCGAAGGAGGCGGTGTGTTTGGCGTCTCGGTCAAAGAGAACTCGGGCTTTCTGCGCCAGTGCGGAGGAACAGCACCGTAGAGCGTGTCGGTTTCCAGTCTGTCGGGTAGACTGCCCCGTACAGAAGAACTTAGGAGCATCCTATTGTACATGAGATCCGGACAGGATCGAGACACCACTGTTGGTAAGGATTTTTATTTATGAACTAAATGCTTGTCTATGTCCAACAATGAGAAAGATAAGATTGTGGTTTCAACGTACCTGCCAATAGTCTGGCTCTAGTGGGCGCCGAGGACTGCATCATGTAACGATGGCGCGATCCCACGGGACACAAGAGATCCTCCATGAGTAGGGAGCGTAGTGCAACTTGAGTCGTGGACTCGTTTCGTTGAAGTTTTTCGTACTTGGCGCACAAATCGCGCATGGAAAGCTCGACGAGTGGCTGCTCGAGTCGGCCTTCTTGCTTTAGTTCGATACTAAGAGCAGGCAACTCGAAGAACACTTTGATGGGGAGATCGAATTTCTCAGAGTACGACGCTCTGTCGGCCGAGCTGTGGCTGATGAACGAAAAATGCAGTCATTGAAAATACTCGTGGCTTTGTAGCACAACGGGGGAAAATATTGTTTACCTGGGAGTACTGTAGCTGTCGCTTTTGGTAGGCGCTTGCTGCTTGGGTACTACGGATTCGGATGCGGAGGTTGGTACCGACAATAGCCGGTGAATTGTATCCAAGAGCTGCTCGTACTGGCCGCGAGCGAGTGACACCTTCAAAGGAGTGACTACTCTGCCACGGACCTCTATCGTACCCCGTGCATTTTCTATTTCTAGGGGAAAGCCTGGACTCTGACAACGACTGCCTAGGTCTCGCTCTACGGTTACGCTTAGCATGGTGTCATGAAGCATGGGCTTGCCGTTTTCTTTGCAAGAATACATGTCCTCGGCTCTGAGAGGCAAATTTCCTTGGCTCGTCTTTATAACGAAACATTTTAATTTTAATGCAATTCACAGTGATACATTTTGAAACTACCGAGAAAATAATATAAAATTACCTGATTGATTTTTCCCGATACATCCAACGAATGCAAATTCATATCTCTGACCTCGAGGTTGATCTTTTGTTTGGTCGAACCGGACGACGGGGGCTCGTGCTGCAAAGACATCTTTCCGAGATGTGCGACAAAGACCTGCGTGCTCTGCGAGGATCTTGGTACCACAAGCACCGGACTGTCCAGCACCAGGTCAAACTTCAACAACAAACTACCCGAGGACTCTGCGCCGTCCATTGAAAAGCTTGGCAACCTTTTGCGCTGAGGTATCGCCCAGTCTTCGGCGTTGACCAGACCGATAGCCATGTCCGTGGCTGCGGCACCGATTTGCCTCGCCAAGTTGCTCATGTATTGTTTGAACTCGTCGGCGCACGAGCGCAACTCGGATATTAAGTGAGGAGCGTGCGTGTACCAGACGCTACCAATGCGCACGCTAATGTCGACAAGAGTTTCGAGACCGACGTCATCTGTGTTCTGTCGGCAATTGCGAGTGACGAGGAAACGGAATGCCTCTGGCTGCTCGTTTTTACTAGCCATGTGTTCGAGAACGTGGTGATTATGATGATGGTGGTGGTAATGATGGTGTTGCTGGTATGCGCTGGTTCCTGATATTTCGACCAAAGGATCTCGGCCAACGCTGATTATGCGCTGATGCGTTTTGCCGATGAGCGTTTGATCGAGAATCTGTAGACCACCTAGAGAGCCGGAGATGGAATTGTTGGCGGCAAGCGTCGCCTGGATTCTTGCGTCAGACATTGTAGCGGTGGCAATTTTTTGGCCCACCTAAATTTCATTGTTTTCCTCTTCAATTATCAATGTATGCTCTTATGAAATTAACTTACATGATCAACTCACCAAATGGCTATCCTGCATTACAGCTCGAAGCAGCAGAACGTTTAATCTGTGAAAATCGAAAGTAATTTCTGTCCTCGTCGGCTTGCCTTCCGACGTTAAACTTGTGAGCGATTCGTATCTTCCCATTCTCCTGGACTTGTATTTCTTTGGTGGGAACAGCCTCCTCGCGAATCCTACGAGTTCAACTATCGTTTCCTGGTTTGCGATGATGTCAAGCGTGTTGAACTGTATATTCGCAATCCTGAGGCTTTCAAGCGGCTCGTCGACTACCATCACCTCGACAACGATAAGTGCTTCGGAATCGAGTTGTTCAATAGCGACGGCCGAGGGTGCGATCGGACTTTTGACGTCGTGATGTGCGAGGGTGGATAAGGCATGAGTTAGAGCTACTGGAGAGGTAAGGCGCCGAGGAACGTTGGGGTCCGGTGAGTCCGGGGAAACTGGAGATACCGGTGACGTTGGCTCAGAGTCGCGGAGGCTGCCGGAAATACTATCCATTCCAACGTGCTTGTGACTAGCGACGAGCAATTCGAAGTCTGGTCCGAATTCTTGAAGAGCATCGACCAACAGAAGGCCATGAACGGATAACGAGGCACTTACATCTGCCGGCCGCTTGCTCAGAGCTGCTCGTACTCCTGAAACCTAAATACCCAATCGATTTTTGAAAGCTCAATCGATGTGAATACCAATTTCCAATATTCATTCGAGTTACCCTTTACCTGAAGTTCAGCTACACTTCTGCCCCTAGATTGGAGCTCGAACGTCATTTGATCGATGATGAACTGTATCATCATCGCGTGATTCATCGTTCTATCCACGTTTTCTTCCTTCTTTGGACTTTCGGGTTCTTCTGGTGAGTATATGCCGTTAGTCTTTGCGGAAACTGGTGAACTGCTCGACAAACTCCGCAATAGATGGTACATCGATCTGATTGACTCGACTTTTGGTTCGTTGACATGAACCACAAGTCTGGGCAAGTTTCCAGCAATTACGACAGAAGGAAAGTGCGGATCCGTCGTCGTGACTACTCGTCTCTCGATTTGAAGAGATATGTTGAACCTGTTGAAATCGTAGTGAGTAAACATTGAAAAAAATTAATATCCATGTAAGAGCGACACAACGAACCTCTCCAACACGTGGAGGCTGGACATGCCCCGCGTCCTCGCGTGCTTCCAGTTGTCCTTGACCTTGCCGACGAGCACTTGTAGATCCGATAAGTCAATCGTATACCGATCGTAGAGTTTTTTGTGCAGAGCAGCCTCGGAGAGACTTTGCTGCAGATCCGGTACAGAGCCGTTTTCTTGACTGCCCGGTGGAGTCGAGCAGGGTGTCTCGAATCTCTCGTTTTCGTCATCGTCGTCCCCGTCCTCATCCATTTTTTCGATCTCGCTGGTAGGTGACATGAGATCTCTCGGGTTTATCATCATGGCGCTTGTGTCGATGTTATTGGTCAGGTGGAGCCGACCAAAATCGACGACCACAACAGCTGCATTTGCGTCGTTAAACTTTTCCACCAGTAGAATTTGCGGCGCTGATATGTTGAATTGCAGATCCCACGAGGAGCGATCCACGGAGTCACCCTCCAGAATCTGTTCCCAATTTTTCATGAGCTGCCGGCGCGTGCGACGTTTCATCGCTTGCAATCTCTGGTTGTTGGGATCGTCGGATCTGTGAGGCTCACACACAAAGTCGACCAGCCAACGCATGGCCAAGGGATTGTACACAACGTCCAGGGACCTTGAACTGACGTGAAGCGAATGATCGACGTTCAAGTGTAGCGGCTTTTTCTCGTAAACGAGCTCGAACAGCGATTGCGGCAACTGGGTGCTGAGCTTTTCGGAAGAGCTGCGCAGTCGCGACGAAGAGCCTGTAGAACCGAGAGTTTGCGGCTGGATGAGTATTGGAAAGGTTGAGTTTTCCGTGAAGTGATCGTGCAAGTAGAGAGCACCCAGGCTGATTGAAAACTTGTGCGAGCCTGAACGCGGTCGCGACTCGTAGCTCAAGTGAACGCGCTCGAATTGTAATTCCATCACAGTCTTGGTTTCCGCTGCTTTACCTAAACAAGTAATAAAATAAGTCCTCACGTGTACAATGAAAAGCAGAAAAATTTCATCAAGAAAGTAACAAACCCTCTTCTGCCTTAGAAACTGTACACAGAGAAATCGCACCCTTGGACAACGCAAAATTAAAAAGACCAAAAACAGTATCGCGTCGAATGAGTGTGTCATCGTCGATGGTGTCGGCCAAAACATCAAGCAACTCGCCGTCAAAAGTCGATGAATTTGTCTCAGTCGGCGAATTTCCATTATTGTTTGTCGACGATTTAGTAGACTGCCAGCCCCACCATTGGGGAAACCACTGGAACAACATACCCTGAGCTTGTGGTGGCGTCGTATCGCTTGTTACGGTCGCTACTGGCTTTGGTGGCCTCACCTTTGCCATTGCTGCAACGAAAAATTACTGGCTCAAGTATATTTGCTAAACCTTTCACGAATAAACGACGTCAAACACATACCTAGCTCCCGCAAAACTTTTGATTCATCAAAACTCAGATCTATTTCCATCTGATCTTTAATTTTTTTAATTTCTGGAGGTAAACTAGTTGTGGGATTCGCTATCAATTTTGCACAAGCTTCGACGTATACGACGTTATTTCTCCCGAGCAGTAGAATATCTTCCCACGTTTTCTTTGGTGCCAATGCTTTCCTTCCAATGTAACAACGCGCAGCGTATCGCCACCATTCTTTTGGGGCTTCATTGATCGGTACAAGCGGCCGACACCTCCTCTGTCGTCGTTGCCGATCGATGACATCCAAATTTTTTATAGACATAACGATCTGTTCATACTGCACCTGATGATTAAGGCAAGAAAAACATAAAAACTTGGGTTCTTTTTATGGTAAAATAAATATAGAATGAAGGATTTATTGCACTTACATTTGTTACAGACAATGGTACGTGATCCAAAGAAAGGTCCAATATTATTCTTGGTTTGTTAGCTGAGCGCAGAGGCCTCTCCGTTCTATCCCTTTTTATATGGGCTTTGGCACTGACTAGTGAAAGAATATAAGATCTCTTTTGCTTTTTCGATTCATTCATGGCAATCTAAAACAGTTTGTTTTTCATCGATGCAAAAGTTTGTTGGGACAAAACTAGTTCAACGAGCAAAATACTTACAGCTAAATCTCCAAGATTAAGGTCATGAAACATGTGTTCTTTTTTTACTTGATCCCAGTAAATAGAGAGGCCATCCAGTTCCATTAATTTAAAAGATGCATCCGCCAAGTTCCACGACGTTGAACCGGGCACCCAACTCGCATCACAGCTCCGGGCAGTTAAAGCTCCTATCGTCACACCCAATACCAGTCCACTTCCTGAAATGTGTAAAAATTAAATTTCTCAGGAACATGGTTTCCAATACAATAAAGTATCGAATCGAAATGCAAACCATCAGGAAGGGACACCGCGTCCTCGTAGCGCAAATGTACATCTTTAATGGTAGGCTGCAAATTTTCTATAATATTCGTGACTAGAGAGGTACCGTAAGTTACCCAGGTACTATAACTAGCAGCGTAGTAACCAGGACCTTGTTCTGATTCGGCTCGCCACCTTGCTTCCAGAGCTTCCAAACGACTCAATTTGTAATCAACGATCGCGTGTTCCTCCGCTTCGCTGTCGTACTGTAAACAAAAAAAGTCCGATTTCATTAATTTTTTCATCAAGTTTTTCCATATCTCTCGGAAAAAACGATGAATACGCGTTAAGCAATCGCGATCGTTATTTTTGGATGCTTGGTAAATTTCATCGTCATTTCGAGATATAGCTTTTTTAATTGAAAGTAATAATTATAGTTACCTCGTCTAAATTTATAGGTCCTACAACTAAATAGAGTTGCTCTATTGCTATAAGCCATGACGCTGTCCTGAATTGAGTAACAGGTACTTGTAATCTGACTTTGCCAATAAAACCAGCTTTTATTTCAACTGGCAAACCAATGTGTCTCAAAGCCTCACGTTTTAGAGGTAAATTCTCGAGTTCCACTGCACCTATAAAATAATGTAATATGTTGATTGAAATTTTTTTTTTCTTTTTTTCTAACATCAAAGAAATTTATGTTTGCTAGTCATTGTGGTATTACTTCACACGGACGTGATAAATTTATTTATAAGCCCAATAAATCAAGCTGCATACAAAATTCACATTAAGTATTTAAATTTCTCTCGTTCAATAAACTGAGAAATTCTACAAATTGATTTCTTGCACTAAATATAGCATCAAGCTACAATTATGTAGCAAAACTGTTCTCATAGATATATTTATGATGAGAAAACTATAATTTTGTAAGGTAATCGATACAATACAAGAAAAAATTTTTTTCATTGAAAATAAAGACTTTTACTTGTGGACATTAATATTTAACCAATGACAACAACAAAAACTGATTGTCGCTAAGTTTTAATCTGTGAAAAATATAGTTGAAGTTTATATAATAAAGATCTCAATTGAAGCCACTCTATCAAAGAACACACAGTCAGCAGTATCAATTGAAAGCATCTCTGCATCTATGAATCATTCTCATATACTAGTGCTCAAGGGATATGAAACAAATTCTCCAGAGCACGTACGATGCAAATCAAGTGTGCCACAGCAATGTCAGTGAGATGAAGTAACAATAGTGGCATTGACAAAGCACGTGTGAATCGAGAGTGAATAGGAGACGAATAAATGTATTTTGTACCTGACAGCAGAGCAATGCTGAGCTGATCTGTGTTGAGGTTCTCGACGTACTTGCCCAGGTAGTTGTTTAACACCCAGGCAACGAGTCCCTCGAGCATCTTGCGTGAGACTCAATTGTGCAACTTTTGCAATGACAAAAAAAAAATATACAGTAGTGTTGTCTATTGTGATTGCTACAAAGTATACACCAGATGATTCCCTAGAAGAATAGCTCCTTCGCTATTTCAAACATTACTACGAAGGTTGATGGTTTTTATCCTTTTCGTCGAGAAGCCTGAAGAAACATTAATCGTCACGTTATTAACGCAATCGATCTTGTTTTGCTGAGCAGAGCAGACTGACTGAATTCAATTCGGAGTGTTTTGATTATCCCCTTTCTTGCCGCGCAGCGGCTCAGCCCCGCCACTTTTGTTAAACCGTTCGATTATCCTAAATCAATTGCCGCAGTATCCATGAATTTTCAGAAACGACTAAAGTAACACTGGACACAATACACTTATTTGCACAAATTGCACAATAATGCACGAAGAGAAGAGATATAAAATAGTAATATATATTTTTTTTTGTGCTCTCTCTTCTTCTGCACACCTCGGCTGCAGCGATACTACCGATCGAGTTAATTCTGTCGTCTGCTCTTTCTCTACCTATATATATATAGGTTCAAATACACTTGTATTTTTTATCAAACGTCAACAATACAAATAGACATTGTAGCTTAAAATTAAAAATGATGATACAAACAAATAATTGACTCCCAGATTTTTTAATTTATTCATTTATTTTATTTTATTGTTTCTTTTTTTTCTGTAACCTACGGGTGTTCGTCTTTTTGTTTGTACTCAGGAATATGCGCAATATAATAAACATCTTCTTAATCTAGAATATCACATTTGGTTGTCGAGACTTTAAAAAATTCTGCAGGGTTTTGTCATATATATTACACTTAAATGCTGCCTCGAGTGTTTAAATATTTTCAGTGTCAAAAATATAATCTTTAGATTAGATTAGATTAAATTAGCTGCTCCTTATCCGATCTTTTGGTGGGAAATACAATAAATAAAATAAGCTGAAATCCGCTTAGGATGCACCCAAGAAAATTAGGCGCTTGAATGAAGTAGTCGTTGATGAGACAACCATAAAAAAACCATTGACAGGAGGTGATGAAAGAAGCCACGATCACAGGAAATGGTAGACTATCTGCACTTCTTACCCTCAAAACGTGAGCCTGAAAACGTTTATTATATTTTATGAGACGTTATAATTTTCACACAATTATCATGTGAGATTTCCACAACAATTTTCTAACACTCACCAGATTTATCAATGGCGATGCAAAGAACAAAATCGTGAATACGCAACTGATAAGACCAACGTGCCTGATGACCTTAGAAACATCCTCTTCCAATAACCAATATAAATACATAAAACTGATGAAAGTCAAAGCCAATAAGATTTGCTTTACAATAACATTCTTTTTGACCGTGTAAATGTAAAATGTAAAGGAATAGAAGAATTGCAGTGATGATCCAAAAGTATTAACAATTATTATTGATTTATCATTAATCAAAATACCGTACAGCATCCATAAGCTGCACCTGTAAAATAAATGTGTAACCAAAAAAAATGTTCAAGTATAAAATTCTTACAATAATAAATTTTGACTTACGAAAGAAAGCAAGTGACAAATGCTAGTCCAGAAGCATCTCCCGTGGATTTGTTTTTGGCAAACTTTTTGCATACCAATCTAAAAAAACACTCATTGAAAAGACTTATTACACTTCCATGTAATCATTTAAAAATATAAATCAGATTTACAATAACTGTATTTATATTGATGTAAACGCTGAAACTTACATTCCAGATAAAAATTGAAGGATAGTGCAAATCGATGCCGTCACGGCTAAAATATCCTTGAAAACAAGCCAATCCATACTTGCGACATGGAAATTCTCATATCTTTATACTTAGAGTTGACTATTCGTTGGCAATAGTGTGTACCTACGTATGACGTGTTGATTATTGTACTCTGTTACAATGAAACAGTAAGTTATGAATGATTATGTTATAATCTGTTGATATGATTAACTACTGTAATATTAATAAATATATATAGTGAAAATGAAAAGTTTTACCTGAATATATACATAAATTCGACGAGTACGTGGATGATTCACTTATTGATGACTATAATTTACAGTTACGAAGAATAATTAAAACAACTAAATAAACTGCGCCTATATTCAGTTTTTACATGACCACTATTTTAAAATATTAAAAAATATACAATAAATGAGAATGTTTTTAATTACGTCATTGTTAGGTTATGACCATGATGTAAGAATATAAGGTGTGGCGTTGCGCATCCATTTTGATTGACCAATCAGGAACGCTTCCAATCGCGCCGCCATGTCTGTCTGCGAATTTCAATAGCTTTTAAAATATAAAGCGTATTAATATCAAGAAACTCCTGAAACAATATGCATTTTTTATTTCAATATTTTCAATCCAGTTGTTTCAGTGACCAAACGTACAATTTGTGAATATCCACACAGAAAAACTGACTAAATAGGTAATCANTATGAAGATGATTGATGAGCATTATAAGAACTTTGTGGTTGGGCTTTGGGAGGCGATATACCAGTACATGTATGTCGTTGATTCGTTGTTCTTTCGATTCTTGTTCTGGAAAAAGATATAAACGATTTCACGTTGACACAACTACTGAAAAAACAAAAGTTTTCAATGTTGCAACTTACTCGCTGCCATAATAAAACTATCATAATTTGCAAAAGTCATAAGGGGCTCAGAAAGAGTTCTTAAGTAAGTTTTTAGAGCACTAGTGATTGTCTTGCTTTCCCACTCATAGCGATTTTCCAAATTCAGCTTTTCCAATTTCCTTCTGTCAAGGCCCATTGTGAGTAGTTTATTTACTTTCGAAGCCACACCGACTACTCGGTAAAGTCCCTGCTCTTCTAAACCTCTTTCTTCTAGCACTTGAATGCATCTCGAAATGAACATTAAACCAGTCGCATCGATTACATTTTCATCCGGCTTTGCCAACGGATTTTGTAAAGAAGGAACCTAAAAATTTACATGATCTCATAAATAGTTTTTTGATTAACTAAAGAATCCAATGTGAATGATCAAACATACAGGTTCTCGTCCATCCATTGCATCCATCCAACTTTTTTTATCGTCTTCAGAGAGAGCTTGGAATGTATATACAATGCCAGATCTGCAAATAATTGTTTAAACATTCAACTTTGACTGAATAGATATATTTTTTATTGGCAAAAACCTTTTTACTTATAATATTTCAAACATATATTATTCGTATTATAAACTTCAACAAGTGTTAGAAAGCATAAATTAAAGTTGAAATATAAGTGTAAAAGAAAAAAACGTTGGCTTATGCGACAAGTCTGACCTTCCAACGGCAGTAACGTCAAAACAAAATCGTTTCTCTATCGACTCGGACGTGCGTCGTACACAGGATGCGAGAGTAAAAACATCTTTATTGCTCTGTGAGAATAGAAAAAGACAATTTTGGTTAGTCAACATAACGGCATGCAAACATTGTACGGAGAAACAGATAGTTGAAGGTGCATGAAAGTTTTATGAAACTTACAAATTTGCCTGTGAGCTGATTATAAGGTATCATAGTAAATTCCTTTTTATCTTTTTGATATGTGCAATATTGTTTTGTCATAGTGGTTCCAAAAGCCTCTGCAAAAATAATTTGACGTATCTGTCTGCTTTTTTTTTTTCTTTTATCGCATGTATGCGGCTAATCTACAAACTCTATTTTGTTTTTAACTCTTAGTTTCTAAGTCTTTGCATGACTCATTTTCTTTGACAAAATAAGTAAAAAAAAAAAAAAAAAAAAATTTAAACAAGAAAACTGTGAAATAGACAAGCGAAATATATATGGTACGTAGATTTAGAAAAAAGAAAAAAAAAATATTGATAAGTAGAGTAAGGCAGTTAAAAACACAAACACTTGAAAAAAAAGTAACAATACTTAAATAAATTTTATGACTCACTCTTTTCTATAAGGTATAAATAACCTTCTCTGGTGTATAGTTTGTTAGGGCCGCTTTCGATGGCAGACTAAAAAAAATTTTATTTCGAATAAATAATTTTTCGTATTGACAATGTCGATAGCTTTATTAATAATCATTCAAGCGACTGGGGCAATGCAAGTATTGCATCTATTATTAATAAAGCATTAACAAAGCTCGCGAATAAAAACGCGAAAAATCAAAAATACGTACCTTTTTTACGTCCTTCATTTTATTCATGAGGGACTCTGTTTTATCCCGCGTAGCATCGAAATTTTCTCTAGTCTTACAAAACACACACACACACGTATTATTAGACAATTAGTTGTAAGTTTATAAGCGAGCATAGTTAAAATAACAAGAGTCTAGTGACTATCATTCATAATTTAGTTACTGCAAAAAATTAATATTTTTTAGTACAAGTTCACTAACACGGATTTTTTTATTAGTACTTATTCAACTGCAATTTCTTAATGAACATAAACATTTTTTTTTAATGTGTATTAAATTTTTAATTAAAAGCATGTAACTTTTAAACTATCCACACCAAAATTACTTTTAAATTACATTAAAAATTAATTCTTGATAGTTAAAGCAGCTTGTTTTGTAAGAAAAGCTGTTTTAAACAACGGTTCCTAACAATAATCGGGTAATTCAAGTAATTATGTATAACCTGTTCCATAATAAAGTAGTAAAATTTAAAGAAACTAACCTTTTGTATCTTGTACTGCAACTCAGTCATATAAGGTTTAAAGTCTTTAGCTACTTCGTGTCCTTGGTGATAAAATGTTAACCAACCAAACATAAAACTCAGAAGCTATAAAAAAAGAAAAAAAACAGGTAATAATAAAATTTGTTATTTCTAATAAGCTGCGGTCTCTTTAAGTATAGAAAAAGTAAATAAACTCACTGTTTCTACGAATTCAAACTTTTTGCGCTCTTGTACCTCTTGGAGCAAAAAAACATATTCTAGGCTTGCCTGGCAAAAATGCCTCTCAGCCATATCCAGTGTCGCGTCCGCCTGAGTACAAAATGTTAATTTAATTAATTAAAACATGATTTTCATTGCTGATCGTTTAGAGTGTTTCTCACCTCTTGAAGAACATTGTCTTGTTTTTTAGTAGACAAATTTAAATATCGTTCTTGACTTTGGCAAAATTTAACCGTCTGTTTCTCAAACTTTTTCTTTCCCTCCTAGAAAACGATACAGATATAATTTAAAAAAAACTCAAATGCTCCGAACGAAAAAAAAAAATTACCTTGACACCACCTATTTGTGTTTTTCTAAACGTTTCTAGTGGCAGTATAATTTGATCGTACGCACGTTCCAACTGAAATTCGAAATATATTTTTTAAATTGCGTGTGATTCTATATATACGTGTTTCTGTAATAAAAAAAACTGAATAAATTGTAAAAACTCAAAGTGTTTGTGTGTACAAGTGTGTAACAAATTTTACTAGTAAATAAGCAATAGCAAACCATACGAAAATTAACTACTATTTATTCTATGAGAACAATAACAAAAGTAAGAGATGATTATTTTTTTTTTTTTAATTGTCATGGAAAAATTGTATTATTTTAGCTTAAAATTTTATTAACAAACAATCAAAAAAGAGTTGATCTAACATAGATACAAAAATTTCAATGGAATTTATTCTAAATTCCAATGAGAAAAAGACGATTGTCTACAGTCTAAACATATTTGGGCAGATGTTTATTTAACAAGCCCATTACATGTTTCAAATTCAAAATGTATACAACTAAAAAAATAAACCTTGCACTAGGATTTATCGGTTATTGCCATTGTAGATTAGATAATTCAAAATCATAGTAGAAGGTTCTATTAAAATTGAATTAAAAAGCAATTTGAATGTTGTCAAAAAAGTAATAAGTGACGAGATACTGTGAAAATTGAAATTTATTAGTAAATTGATAAAAAAATTTCTCTAGAAAAATTGAACGAGTTTCAAGAATTTTCACAGTACATTCATCTTTAAACGTTTAGAACGAAAAAAACAGATCAACATAATATATACAGATAGTATAATGTACTTATGTAACAGTAGAAAAGTTTCAGTAGGAACAGATAAGGTAAATGTTATTTGAAAGTTTAATTAGTAAAAACACGTGTAATAAAGGCGGTGTATCAAGTGTAAGTGATATATAAAAACAACAGTGACAGAGAACACACTATTAAAAAGTAGTTTTCCTTTACCACTGACTCACTTGTTATCCTTATATCGATATACAGAATGAAATATCAATTCGTAGTAAGCATTTTGTGAGTTTTTATCATACAAATGTTCATAAAAATAATTATTTTATCGTATAACTTTTTTTTTTCAATTATATACATACATGATAGAAAATATTTGTAACGGAAATTTAAATAAAAAAAAAGGGGGAAACAAGGATATATAAGTATAACAGCGTTGCTAATGTGCTAAGTTTTGTGCATACCATGCGACCACGCTCGTCTTCGATCAATGCAATGAGTTTACCAAATTCCTTCAGACTTTGGGATATGTGTAATTCATCTTCAGTCTGTGTTTCACCAATACATTCAAAGCTGAAGTTTTGCAGAGTATTTGAGAATGCCCTCTGAGCTCGGGATAGATCTGCAACACAGGGCGTTTTTCATATTAATTTACCCAAAACGTCATTGAGTCATCGCATGTTAAATCGTTGCAACAATAATTAAACAGCCAAAATTGAAAAATTTCAAATTTACTTTCAACATTTCGTGAACTTCATCATTAAAATTTTGTTCATCGTTGGGTCATGTTAATTTCGTAAAAATGTTTTAACCGGTTTCAAATGCCAAACATTTTTTTTGTAACAATTTACAAGCGCATCTACTGTCAGCATTTTGAATTATTGGTAGTTCACTTCTCGGTATTTATGTTTAAAGAGAGGGAGAGTAAAAAAAATAAAATTTATCATCCGAATGGAAAGTCACTTTGAATTACAACTTATTATCCAAGGCATCAGTTGCATTTCCTGAAATCGATAAAATCGTACTCAACTTTCCTGAAAGGTATGGAAAAGAAAAGCGAAAGCAAAAGGAATGCACAATAGATCGCACAAATGTACAAATGCGTGGTGTTGTCTCTCTCGAGCTTTTGCTATAAATATGCAAGGATGCGGACTAAGTAGAGTTTTTTTTTTTTCTCAAAGTATGTTTAATTGCTCTCGTGGTGCTTTTGAACTTAAAATTTTACTTGCCAACCCCGCATGGGCATTAATAACAATAGAAAGTTTTGGATCAATTGCATCGTGCTTTGATTGAGGTGACATTCTTTGTATACTTTCGCTCTGTAAATGCACGTCGTGCCGCTCTCGTGTGATGCGTGTATACGGTTTAGCGATTCGATTTATTATATTTTCCGTCGACTTGGCGCGGCGTAAAAAATTGATTCTTCTCGACCCAGGGCACGAGTATTCCGAAAGAGTAAGCTTGAATTTTTTTAATTTTGGAAAATTCTACATGGTGGGAGAATATTTTGTTGGATACGAGCACGTATGTTTGTTATATTATGCAACGTGGTAAAAAAAATTCATTCGTACTTTAATCAACTTATTACCTATAATGATACGTAATTATATGAAATGACAAGTGTTGTATCTACTAATGACTAATGCCTACAATTCAGGTATGTATGTGTACAAAACTAGGGGCATTTCTAACTTCAAAGAATGATCTACTTTCAATGAATAAATAATTATTAATTATTATAACAGGTATTCTATATATCTGTGGGATTCATAAAAATTGAAAATGCGTTGGAAAAAAAAACGTTGAACATTTTGTAAAAGAAAATTTAAAATAAAAAAATTAAAATACAAGTATAAGCTATTGTTACTTTTTACTTTAAAAAATAATACTACATGGAGATAAGGAATTTCAAACGTTTTCAAAATACAACTTGTTATCTGAGAGAAACATACATATTGTTAAAATTTTTTTTGTTGTACTCATGACAATGGAATATGGTAATGATATTATACTTTCTGAATACTAAAGTAAATAAGTCAACGTATAATGTTACTCTGAAAATATCCTATAAATAAGGCAAACACATTGTCTCATAACATGATCCAAGTAATCTGACGATTTAGTAAAGAGACAATAGGTATTGGTAATGGAGCTCTAATTTACCCAAAAAAATCTACTGCAAAACATGGCTCTTAAGGAGAAAAAAAAAAAAAAAAGAAATACTACATTCTGATGGATTGAGTACAAATGCATGGAGGCAGGTGAAGGCCAGTAAGAAACGATGACATGCTATTTACCAGTAATAGAGAGACAGAGGCCATACTTTTTTAATGGCAGTTGTACTGGCATTAGCCTGAAATGGATGTACCGTGACATAATCATTATCAGGCGTAGACTGTGCGCAGCCCGTATGCGTAGGCATATGATAAAAAGAATAGTAGTACAGAGGAGGAAGAGAAGTACTCAATGAACGTGACCTTCCCACTTGCTACAATTTGTGCTGAGAAAAGCTGAATAACCACCTTCAGCTTGCAACTCTTCAGACAGAAGCTAAGTGAGAAAGAGATGCTGTTGTGTGCAGAGAAAATGAGAGAGGATTATCAAAAAAGGGGGAGATTGATTGAGATATATGCATAGGCAAGTTAAGTTTGTGCTCTGGTGCTGTTTCTGCTGCATTAGCATCACTTACATGTGCTCTCTCCCCTGCGTCAGACTGCGTTAAAATTATGATTAATTAAGTGCGACAAGGCGGACACTCGAGTTGACATGGAAAAAAAAAATTCATTAAATAGCACTTTGTATACATATATGTGTCTATACGGCCTATAGTGCTGTATACAATTGTAGTTGCATCTGTACTGCACAACATCAAGTGAACAGATGATAGACAAACTCAAAGTAGAGATGCACGTAACACGAGAAGAATAATTATTAATTCATGTTAAAAAAAGGAAAGATGACACACTGATAATGCGTGTGCGGTTTTTTTTTTTTTTTTTTAATTATTGAGCACTAACTTTTGGCAGCTGAGAGCAGATCCTTTACTTCCTTGATGAGCCGTTTGATCTGCTGGCTGGTCTTTTCGAGCTCGCGCTCGTGATAATGGAGATTCTCGCGGAAGTAGGGGCTGTCCGTGAGGCAATCCGTGAACTCGAGCGGCTTCAGACCAACACCCATGTTACCCTCCTCCTCCAGCACCTCTGCTGTTGCTGTTTCTGCTGCTGTTCCTGCTGATGGTCGTCGTGTGCCCTCCTAATTGTACTATACTGCTGTTACGGCTGGAATTCCTGGTTGTTTTCGAAGAGGTCGAAGAATTAACAGCAGAAGAAAAAGAAATCTGGCCTCCCGTCCTGGCACTCATTTATGCGCGACTCGGCGCGCAGCAAAGATTTTCCACACTTTCCCTTCTTCTCTTTCTGATAGCTAGGTAGCTAGGTTGCACTTTGGTACGACGATGATGATTCAAGCACCTGATGCAGCACAACAACCTATACTCACACGGAGCTTTGTAATTGGCTGCAGATTGTCCCAAAGTGCTGATACACTCTGCACGTGCATTAGAAGCGTCTATCGTTACTTATTTACGCCACACGCCTCCATATAGTCTATATCAGATATCAGCAGATTTTAGTGATTATTTCACAACACACACTACTTAGACACACACATACACACGCGCGCGCGCGTACGCTGGGGCATTCAGGTTATATATATATGTAAAATGAACCAGAGCAGAGTTCAGCAGAGAGACAGCACAAGCCATACAAAATGCACAAGATTCGTTCGTCGACGCACTGGGTTTGGATTCTGTCTGAAACTTTTTTTCAGTACCTCCCGCAGTATCCGCACATTGTTGCCCGAGTGCGTGACAGATATTCCATGTAGCATACGGACAACCAAACATCAGTACATGAGTAAGTGTTGAGTTACAGAAAGAGTTAAGTTTACAATTAAATACCGTAGGCGTACAGTGTACGGATGCCCGCAAACAAGAGCGAATGCTTTAAAAAAAAATGCTCTTTCTCTCTCCCTTGTTTTTTTTTTTTTTTTTTTTTTTTTTTCGACACTAATAAACAACTAAACTCCGATTGCTTCCTTGTTGTATACCATACGTATACAAAATTACGAGCACGCACGAACGCTGTCCTCTTTGCTGACGCTTCTTTCTCCCTTTTTCCTCCAATTCAATCCAATCCCGTTCTCTTGTGTGTGCGTGCGATCGCAATAATTTTTGCAATTGCGCTCCGAAAGGCCCCAGCCCGCTCTTATCGCTATAGTTATAACAGCTTCGAGCTTCGACTCTTTAAATTCAATTCCTCGACGCTCCTCACACTTTCGATAGTTCGATATATCGTATATATACGAAATACCGTTCGAGATTGACCGTCATGGTACAGGGCATGATAATACAAGTATATTATATGAGACTTATGAGTCATTTTTAGTCATTTATGAGATGAGTAAGTTAGTTGTTGGTTGTTGGGTGGCGTTACTGGAACACACCCACCGGTGTCGTGACGATCAATCTCGAACTCGGTAATTCGGTATTCAATTTGCACAGTAAAGTAGTTACCAACTTACCACACTTCTGATCATGGTGTAAAAAATAATAATTTCTAATTTTTTTTTATTTTTAAGTACGCGCGTGTGCGAGAAATACGCTCTTCGATCTCTCTCGATACATTGAATTGGTTCCAGCTGTTTCATACTAGCCGAGCACACTTATTCTACAGGTGACAAGTGTTTCTCCGGGTCTCTCAGTCTCTCTCTTATCTCGCCGCCTACTTTATGACGCTTGTGATTGTCAATAACAAAAAAAAGTTACAAAAATTATGTGTAAAAAACATAATTAACTTAATTCGTCTATTAAAAGCCAAAGGACAAAGTGAATTCTCGGAGCATCGTTCTTTTTAATGTTTTATCGTGTGTGGGGTACACGCTAAAAACGTTCGTTACTGTTGACAATCTGTGTGACAACTGACAATGGCCGAGACGGAGCAGCCCATCGAGGGCTTCATCTGCCCTATTTGCATGACGGATTGTAAAACGCCGACTCTGTTGACCAAACACTTTGAGGATTATCACAAGGACGATCCGGAAATATTCAGATCTCTCAAAGGTATACTTAAGCATTAATATAAGTACAATTTTCTTTTTTTGTTCCATCCATAAGTAACGGGATTCTACAGTTACTGTTTTGTTGCATGTTCCAGGTCTGTTTGGAAAAGCTAAGAAAAAAATATTGAAACAAGATGAAATTCCAGATTACTCTAGTCCAATTTTAGCCAAGAATCAAAGAAGTAGAGAAGAAATCGATTGGGGACCGCAAGAAATTGGTAGGTATGGACAATTTGCTTTACTTGTGTCTTGTCACAGATCTCAAGTATATGTATGATAAATTGTACTCAGGTGGAATAAGATCGCACACCAAGTACTTTAAAGAAGTGAGAAATACAAGGCTGGAAAGATATGCCTCAGAAACTAACAAGCTCATCATAAGACTGGACAAACTCCTAAGCAACATACCAAATGATCCTGTTGAGAAAAAAGGTCTTTAACTCTCATCATTTCCTTGATGATGAGATTACTTTTTCAGGTAAAATACAGGAAAATTAACTGTGCAACTGAATGCTTTGTAGCTCGTGAGCGAGATATCGTGCCCTGGATGGACGACAAAGACGTCAGGCTGTGTCTCACGTGTGCAAAAAGTTTCAACTTAACCAGAAGAAAACACCACTGCAGATTATGCGGCGTTATGATGTGTCACGACTGCAGTCTATTTTTATCCCTCGCTGAAGCTCGTTAGTTTTGTAAAATTTTTTTTTCAATCCAGTTGGAGTATATACATTAACTGGTAAGCTTTTTTTTTTCAACTCTAGGAAGAATGACAAGTCCAGCAACCGTCCAAGACGACTCCGCTCTCTCACCAACGATCGAATCCAAGCGTTTCTCTGATCGCCTGGTACAGGCAGGATTTGGTCTGAAAAAACTCGCCCGATCCCCGTCCGGTGGTAGTCTTAACAGCGTTTTGTCTATTATGACCGACTCGTCGAGTAGCGAGCAATTCTTCCGCGTCTGCCAGCACTGCAAAAACCTTCTGGATGCGCGAGAAAGACTAAAAGCCCGGCACTTTGACAAACCAATAGTTTATCAGTTTTACGAAAAAATGCAAGCTCAAATAAAGGAGGCAAATCGGTTTATTGAAATGTATCACAAAATGTGGAACTCATTGAGCGAGGGTGAATCGACGTATGATTTGCGCGACGCGCAGATGGTCAGGGCAAAAATCGCCAAGATCGGTGACAACATTGATCTGATTAGCAAGAGAATAGCCACGCTTGTAAATGTGGACGAGAACAGTTCGGCTTTGCTGAAGCAGGAGTACAGATTGAATCAAATGGTGAGGACATCAGCGATGCTTTACTTGAAAAATGAATTGCTGAGGACACAACCGGTACCGACCGAAGAGGAGTATGAAGCTATAAAAAAAGAACGCCAAGAGAGAGTAAGAGCAAGGATCGAGTACGAGAGACAGCTGGAACAGGAACAAAGGGAAAAGAAATTAAAAGAATCGCAGAGAGATACACCGCAGAAGGCCTATGATCACAGTGCGAGAAAAAGTCCTACACTTTCTACAAATCAAGTGAGCGATCAACAGTATTGGGTGAACTTATTTAAAAGCGCTTCCAACCGATTTTTCTTATATTTTCAGCTGGTCTTAGATCAATCTCAGGGTTGGGGTACATCAAACCGTCCGGGTGGAAACATGATGATATCGTCCACGTCATTAGATCCGTTTGTTGAACAAATGAGTAATCTTCGATCTTACATAAAACAGGCACGAGAAGAGTGCAAATTTGAGGAAGTAGCTACTTTGGAAAAGAATCTGAAAGAACTTCAAAGTGCCTACTTTACGATGCAACAAAGTGATACCAACAACTGACGACTGAACGGACCTTCAAAACTAACTTCTCTGCGATAAATATGACACTACTAGGATATAATTTCAAATAAGTATTCTCGTCGATAGATAATGGAAGTCCTATTGCCATTATTACTCATACTATTTTTAAAATGCTTTTTTATTTACAAATATTGCTAGACGTACATCCAAACATTGTTATATAATAAAAGTTTAATAAATAAAATACATATAACCGGTATACTCATTGTATAAAAAATATCACAATATCACTCGTGTACTGCATTCTCTGTTGTTTTAACTTTTGTTCTTTCTTTCGAGCACTACAACGGGAATGGGAACATCGACAGCAGAATAGTGGTAACTACCGGCATTATCCGTTGACTCGTCAACGCTTGGCTGATCAGACCCTTCAGTAGTCACGGACTGTTCGTTCGCGGTCTCTTCATTCGAAGACGTCGTGTTAATTTCTTCCAATGTTTCGCCGTTAACGTCCGTCATGTTGTTATCTTCATTTTTTAACTGACCGTGGTGTTTCACGACACAAGGAATGTCTTGCGAGTCCGCCACTTGCAGCACAAAGTCTTCGCTGTGTATTGAATCGGATGATGGAAACTTCATCAGATCCGTGAGCGTTTCGCTGAACTTCATCATATCAGGTATTAATGAAGAATTATTACCATCAGGAATGTTGGCTACAGGCTGGTTAATCACGCCCGGAAGCTCGATTGTGCTTCCCTGACAGTTGTTAGACCATGTGTCGGGCTGGGAGCTTTTTGGTGTGTTGTTGACATGTACATGCTGTTTCAACAGCTCACCTAGAATCTTGTCGTCGATTTCTATCTTTGCCGCTGGGCCGAATTTAGGGCGCTCGGGTGGATCGACTGAATGTAAATACATACACTTATAGTAAATATATTTTTTACATAACTCGAGATTTTTTTTTTTCATAGGATGAAACTCACTCTTCAGTATATTGACAGCCAGGTGATCGGCAGCTCTAAACAATTGCGCATCGACCAAGTACTTGAGCAGAATTCTACAAGTCGGTCGCTTTTTGCCAATCGAGCTCCACTCCTCCAGGAAGAGCTCGGGTTCGGATTTTTTCACCAATCGGCTCCCCTCCTCGATTATCCTGGATGGAAGGAATTTTTCAAAACAAGGGACATATAATGAATCACAATTCCATAGTATTTACGTCGCCGTTGATTTCGTACCTGACGTGATCGGCATTGAATAGCGGCTCGCTGTTTTCCCTGTCCTCGTTTCTCACCATTGCCATTACTTTGCGCCACGAATTCGTCTGTTGCAGAAGTCTCGCAAGTACCTCGATGTCCGCTGGTTGAAGTTTTCGAATGTCCGTGTCGAGAGTGTACATTCTAAAATAAAATTCATGCATTTACTACTTACTACAACATTCGCAGTTTAAAAAACGTGTAGTTCCATGACAGATATAATTCTTTTGAATAAATGATAAAATTTAATGGAGGAGAAGGTTAAGTACCCAATAGAAATTGCTTATTAACGTATAATAATATTTATATCAACAAGTAATCGACATTAATTATCATCACTAACTTTGAGGCTATACAAAAGAATGCGCTCCCTGGCAAAATATAAGTCAACAATTACATACGTGCTTCTCTGTATAATATGATGTCTGTGTAAATAAGATCTTCCGAGTGTATAACTGTAAATTATTTCACTATAGTGCAAAATTTACTGTTTTTCAATTTAAAATATATTGTTACTTACTTTGAACGTATAAAGATCGACTATTGCTTAAGTAGAGGAGTAAAACACACTTTGAATCAAATTTTCGGAGCACAAACTTATAAACAAGAATATCTTATCGTCTGACACTTGTTGTGTTGCAAGTTGCAATAGGTTCGTTTGGGGCTTAGCTTGGAGCAGCTCGGAGCTCCTCCGAACTTTGCCCCAAAACACGCGTTTGCTCCGAGCTCATCGGAGCGCCTCCGAGCAAATTCCTACAGTCGGTATATCTATATTTACAGTCTTGGCAATATAAATATTTACGTCTACTACTATACAATGTAAAACATCCTCGAACAAGTTGTTAGTATAATAATGATTGAACTTCACCAGAAGTTCGTTTAATCATTTAATGTATGGATAGTGTGTGGTTAACGAACGAATAAAGTGGGATTTCCCATTTTGTGATATTGGCACATAATTATATATACTAAAAGCAGATTCTTAATGCACAAATTTTATCCTACTGAATTGTGTTTTTTTGTAAATCATTCATCATTTCAAGTTTCCCAAAAATCTCAGATGACAGACATAAATAGATGATAGAAGATACAGATCTTTATTTTCAAAGTATTTGTACATAAATAAAGCTAAGACTAGACAAATTATTCGTCGCAATGATATTATTATATGTATGTTGCTCTTAATAATTTATTATTATAGTTTAAAGTAACAATATTACGATATGTGAAGCTCTTGGTGATATTTAAATAGAACGTCATTGATGGTTAACGAAATAGTATTTTGAAAAAATACATTTTTCAGTTAATATACAACCACATGCATTATTTTTTTTAAATCACACAACTGCTAAAATCGAGTGTTTTTAACACAAAGGTGTAGCTACTTGATATAATATATGTATACATATCAAATATATGTATATATTATACAATATGAAAGTAAATGTATACATTATTTCCTTGTGTAAATTAGTAATTAGCGCAGAAAGTATAATATGTGTGTATTTGTAATATATATTTTGATAAGCATTATATATTACATTTTTAATGTACATATTTCTTTTCTTTAGCATCAATGTAATTTATTGACATCGAATGGAGAGAGACGAGGAGTCATTGTATATTTTACATTCAATTGTAAATGTATTAAAGACCTTTTGACAGGAGAATGAACCATCCGAGATTTACCTGAAAACATGAAATACCGATCGATAGAGAGACAACGAAGTAAGTTGTCAAATGGCTGGTTAACCTTAAACTTCGTTCGTATAAGTATATGATCAAACTCAGGTTTTATTTTCCCACAGTTTACTCGGAACAAGAAGAAGAAGAAATAAAAAAAAAAACGAAAACCCATATGCATGTTTAATTTAAGCCGCAGCGGTCGTGCTCACGGCCTCGGTCGTGGTGCTAGCCGAATCCGGCTGAGGCGTTTTCTCTTGAATCTCCAACCACGGCATCCTCTTTTGCAGCTCCAACCTGCAGGAATATAAGTATATTGCAATCAACAACAAAGTTATATTTTTCAACCATCCTATACACACACAATTTTCTCTAAAAGTATACTTTCAAAGCGCAACTTCAAGTTAAACTATGTACCTGTATCTCGGGTGGCTGATCGCATAGACGTAAGGATCGAGGCAGGCAACGGTCTTGCAGGTGCAGGCCGGTATCATGGTGACGCCAGGCGTGAGCAGGGCCCTGTTGCCGAAAGCTCCGGTCAGCGCCATCACGGCGTATGGCGTCCAGGAAGCAACGAACAGAAATACTATCGTTATAGCCGCCTGAAAGTGAAAAGAAAAAAAAAAAAAAAAAAAAAAAAAAAAAAAAAAAAAAAAAAAAA